GCGGATGGGAGGGGGGGCGCTCTGGTTGCGGCGACGGAGGCGGGGCAGGCGGCGGGAGGGGCGGCGGGGATGGCGGCGGCGGCGGCGGCGGCAGCGGGGGCGGCGGCGGCGGCGGCGGCGGCGGCGGCGACGGGGTGACGAGCGGCTCCCACCACAGGGACTTGTCCTTCCCGAGGCGGACAGGCGCGTCTCCCCACCACCAGAGGGCGTCCGCCTCGGCGGGAGTACGCGGCGCGTGGGGCGCGAGGCAGACGTCGTCGCACGGCTGCGAGTCGAACGGCGGCGGCCCTCCCCCTCCCCCCTCGGGGACAAAGGTCAGCTGCATCGCGCCGCGCAGGCTCGGGACGGGCGCGGGATGCCGCGTCTCGTTGCCGCCAGTCACGGCCCAGTGCGCTGGCACAGCGCCGACGCCGAGGAGGCCGCCCCCGACGCCAAAGTCCCGCTGGTAATTGACCGAGGTGCCGGGGTGGGTCGTGCCGACGCAGCCGCAGTCGCCAAAGGCAAAGCCGGCGAGGCAGGAGCCGCACGCTCCCACCGGCCCGGCGCAACGCGCCCGCCGCTGTGGCAGCTGGCCCGGGCCGACGATCAGGTGGCGAAACGGCGAGCCTCCGACCGAGTCGACGTGCACGCGCACCCACACGCTCCCCGGGCGCGTGATGCGGAGCAGCCCGTCTGCGCCGGCGGCAAACGGCAGGCCAGCACTCTCCTCCGGCAGCGGCCCAAAGTCGAGCCACTGGAAGGAGTCGGAGGGGTGGCGGCAGTCGCCGGAGGACCACGCAGCCCAGCCGCGAAGAGGGAACTCCGCGGAGAGCGGCGCTCCACTCATGGTAAGCTGCCGAACAACGGCCAAAGTCGGCGCGAAGTGAAAAAAATCAGTGCGTTCTCGTTGTTCTCGAGGTGGATATCCTTTGGCCGCGTTGGGTAGCGAGGGTAGCGATATAAAAATTATCTTTTTCTTTTTTTGATAGATCCAACCCGGCCCCCTGGCGATCCAGTTTTTTCTGTTTTTTATAGTTAAAGGGTCATTTTTCTTGTTTTCTATCCGATTTTGTGTATGTATGTGTATATGGACCGCCCTGAGGGAGGGTGTAGAGGATGTAGAGTGTAGAGCGCTGTAGTCTGTAGAGCTATAGAGCTGTAGAGCGCTGTAGAGCTGTAGAGCTCTACATCCGCCGCGTGACGAACTGCCTGCGTTGTAGAGCGATGTAGAGCGCGATTTTGTTGTAGAGTTTGTTGTAGAGGCTCTACAGCCAAACCGCCGGGAAGGCAGTGACTCAAAGAGGTCGAGCCGCGCTAATGGGGTGTCTCCGAGCTTACTGGAGCTCTGATGGACGGCCCTGACTATCCCTGACACACAGAGAGTCACTCCGACGGCACACAACACCCTATAACTGCGTCATGACCAGCCTGCCATGCGTTGCCGGTGCCGCATTCGTCGCTGTGCTTCTTTAGCAGGCGGTGGACTGTCGGCTGCGAGAACGGTCGCATTTGCGCGAGGCGAGGCGAGCATTGCTGCGCGTTGCATGCGCCATGACTCGCGCCAGCGCGTGCGGGAGCTCCTGGCTGAGCGTTGAGTCCAGGCGAGTTGCGCTGGCCACTATCGCTACGCCGAGCCGAGCTGACGCGCCGAGGCGCCGGCCAGTCGCAGCCGTGAGGCATGCCACAGCAGCAGAGGCACCTGCCACCCATTGGGCGGGCAGACAGAAGGCCAGGGCAGCACTGGCAAGTGCAACGCGCCTCATGTCGGAGAGCGACCGTGCCTCGTTCGCCGCTTATCATGTGATCTGTGATCTGTAAGGGTCCGCCCGCAGGCGCATTTTGTATACCGAGGCGGTGCCCGGTTATCATGTAGAGTTTGTTGTAGAGATTTCACGTTGTAGAGCGCCTCTACACATCGCTCTACAATGCAGGCAGTTCGTCACGCGGCGGATGTAGAGCTCTACAGCTCTACAGCGCTCCCCAGCTCTACAGCTCTACAGCTCTACAGCTCTACAGCGCTCTACAGCTCTACAGCTCTACAGCGCTCTACACTCTACATCCTCTACACCCTCCCTCAGGGACCGCCGCGCCGCTGACTGAGGCCGCAGCTCCAGCCGCTGGCGTCATTTTGGTGGAGTGCGTCGGATCCGCGTCGGGGTTTAAAGGCGTCTTCCCTGCCTTACCGGGTGCGCGTTGGCGCCGCCGATACTTACTGGTGCCCAAGGAGAAAGCGGACGGATGCTTCATCTAGGGGTCACACCCGACGACCTCGGGAACTAGCCGGGGCAGTCGGAGAAGGGGCAACTCCGTGCACTGACGGTCGGCCGTCAGAAAACACGCCTCCGTGGCTCGGGTTACACCAATCCTCGCTACCCAACGCGGCCAAAGGATATCCACCTCGAGAACCTCGAGAGAGATGCTTCATCTCGCGTGTGACTCCATTAGAGAGTGAGAAATTATGCTGCCCGAGTCGCTCTCACGACACTAGGCACGGGACTGGCGCGCACTGGCACTAACAGGTAGAAAGGGGGAGCCGCTAGAAAAAGAGAATTTGCTTTCCCCTGGCGCTGCCAGCTCCTCAGCTTGCTGTGTTAGTGTAGAGCTAGCTGTAGACCTTTCTTCAGTTCTTGGCGAGCCCCTCGCCGTCTCGCCGAGTCGACTCGCCAAGCAAGCAGCGCGGCTGGTCGGGCTGACGTGTCACTCGGGTCACGCCGCGGAAGCGGGAAGGAGAGCAGACGCAGGGCGACTGCGCGCAGGAGAGCCCATGCCGCCCTCGCTCTGCGTCATGTCCTCCTCTCAGTAGACAGTACTGCTTGTGTCCCCCACCAGCGTGAGGCGTTTCCCTGAATTCCCTGCGAACTCTTTCTCAAAAGACAAACCCGGACGTTTCCCTGTGGCGAGGTACTTCCACCGACCGATGCAGCAGCCTGCCTGCTGTGCCCACCGGACGCGTTTCCCTGTGGGAAAGTGGGAACAAACAGCTCACCCAGTCTCGCCAAGGCTCGCCTCAGCAGACACACAAAACACCCGAGAGGCGTGAGTACCTCGCTGCACCGTCGCGGAATCTTCGTCGCGTCCGCTAACGCCTCTTTTCATTCGGAGAGAGTTCGGAGAGAGAGAGAGAGTTCGGTGCCCGCCTGTGACTTTCTTGCGTTGTTGCCCGTCCGAACCAGTGTGGTGAGAGGAGGGGTGTTAGTGCTAGGTGGTGACACGCGTGACAGTCTTATGGTAGCGACTGGACACAAGACGGGCAGTTCGGTTTCTTCTTGACTCGTCGTGGGTATCTCGTTTCTTCTTGCACTGCTGTCGAGCCTGTGTGCTGCGAGAGTGAGTTCTTGTTTAAATTCTTCTTGCACTGCGAGCCCGCTTGAGTGGGTGTCGGCCGCTTGGCCGCCCCCCCAGCTGCAGCGGCTTGACCGCTCCGAGCTGCAGCGCTTGCGGCTGCGTGCCAGCCAAGCGCCGCCGACACCGCCAATATTCCATGGCCGAATTCTTCGACGAGCTGGACGACGCCGCATTCGATGCCATCTGGGACCCCTTGAACGCCGTCGCCGCTGACCAGGCGATGGACGACCGCGCCACTGCCGAGACGCAGCAGCCGCCGCCGCCGCCGTCGTCGCCACCGCCGCCGTCGTCGCCTCCGCCTCCGCCGCTGGCCGCGGGGCCGCCGCCTGCCGCGGGACCGCCGCCTGCCGTGGCGCGAGGGAGCGGCGAGGGCCAGCCGCCAGCCGAGCCGCCTCCGCCACCACCACCGGCCGAGGTCGAGTGCAGCCTGGGCGACAAGTGCAGCTTCTGCCACCCTCCCAAGGGTGCGACTCGCTCGTGCGCTGCACCTCGCGCCTCATCCTGCTCCATCGAGAGGCGCCCTCAGTCTCGCTTCTCGAATAGGCTCGAGCCTCGCGAGCGGAAGACTCAGTACAAGTGGCACGAGTTTCCCCGCTACGGAATCGACAAGAAGACGGGCCTGCGTTGCGGCTTCTTCGAGATTTACCGCGTGCTGGTCCTCTTCGCGGGAGACGACCGCCCTGACGACGGGCTGGCGGCCTTCTTGGTCGAGCGAGCGAGACTGGCCGCCGACGGGAAGGGAGAAGGGTTGTGCGTCGAGATTGCCGAGCTCGACATCTTGCGCGGCTCTGGCGACGGGTCCCAGGAGGACATGCTCGAGCCGCGGACAGCTGACGGCCTGAGAGAGCTCTGCCGAGACCGCCAGTTCGACATGTGCTTCGCTGGCGTCGTCTGCTCGTCTTACTCGGTGCTGCGCTTTCACGACAACTGCGGGCCGGGCTGCCAGCCGCTGCGCGACCGCGAGAATGTACTTGGGCTGCCAGGCTTGGAGCCGTGGCAGCAGCAGGAGCTCAACATTGGCAACGCCCTGACGCGCCTATCCCTCGAGTGCTGCGCACTCGTCTACTCCGGCGGCGGGGAGGCTATGATCGAGAACCCGCCCGACTACGCCTCGAAGGAGCGGCTTCACCGCCCGTTTGCGAAAGAGCAGTGGCGCCACTGCCCCCTCTGGTGCATCCCCGCCGTCGCTGACTTCCTTCGGAGCGCGTGCAACTCCCACCTCGTCGAGTTCGACCAGTGCGCGCTGTCCTCCGAGTACAAGAAGGTTGGCAGTGTGTCACACTGCCAGTAGACCACTGCCAGTGAGAGCGCACTTGACCTGTCGGGTGCTTCCCATAGCCGACCGCTCTGGCTGCCACCGACGGCGTCCAGCGCTACGTGCGGAGCAGCTTCGGAGACAAGGTCTGCAGGTGCTTCCGCCAGCACAGCAGGGTGAGTGACGCCGCCACTGCAGTCTCGGCGTTTGTTCTCTGACTCTGCGCTCGGCCGTAGGTTGCGTTTGGGCGCGACAGCGACGGCAACTTCAACTCTGCAGCAGCTGCGACCTACCCGCCTGACATGAACCGGTCGCTTGACAACTCAGCCGCGCCTTTGAGCTTGCAGCGCCCTCATCTGCTTCCCAGTCGATAGGCTCCTCGCCGACTGCTTCTTCCGCACCGCGCGTGAGCGCCGGCCCTCCGCAGTCGGCGAGAGCAACACGGGGCTTGCGGCCATGTTGGGCAGAGGCCCCCACCGCTCCGCAGAGGCCCCTCTGGCCCGACGAGTAGTAGCGCGCACTGGAATCGCCTCTCTCCACTACGCTTAGATCCACCGTAGGAGCGGAGGGAGGACGAGGCGAAGGCGGCGGGCACGCGGCGGCGGCAGCGCGATACGGCGCTCGCGCCTTTCTGGGTAAGGATGCACAATGCCGACTACAAGGCGCGCTGCAGTCCGACCTTCGAGTTGGGCGCGACCTCGCGTGGGGCCGGGGGCGGGCGGGGGCCGGCGCGGCGGCAAGGCGCGGCGCCGCAGGCGCCGGCCACGAGCGCGAGCCACCAGGCGAGCGGCGGGCGGAGGCCGGATTTGAATGAGTGGTTGATGCAAAGCGCCCGCAAGGCACAGAGTAGAAAGAGGCCAAGGTAGCATGACGTAGCATGGTAGCCGGTAGCCACGATGCATGGGGGAGCTCGCCTCGAGCGACTTTTTTGATTGGGCGGGCACGGCTTAGGGCTTTCTTTCTTTATTCTTTCTTCATAGTTCATTCGTGCGTTTGCGCGGAGACGGGAGACGGATTTCGCTGCGGTGGAGCACTTTCCTGGAGAGTGCAGTTATCTGCGCTCACACCCCGGACGCTGGGAGGTGGGAGCCGGACACCCCAGGTCCGGGGGAGCTATAAGTCCTAAAAAAGAAGCGCACCCCGAGCGGGCGAGCGCGGGGGCCGGATGATGTATCAAGATCGGGTTACGGTGCGCGTTTGCAGGATCCAGGAAACCATAAAGTAAACACGGGCGGGGTCTCCCCGAG